ATTAATGATAAAATGTTTATCATTAGAAATAATTTTGTTTAAAATAATGTTTAAGTATTTAAAAAATCGTTTACCAAAAACAGAATTATAACACCCTGTGCAGCATGTAACAAATCTAAATTTAACAGGTGTTTTATGAAATTTAATGGTCGGAAATAAGTATGGGAAATTAAAACTATTTGGTTTTGTTCCAATTTTTTTATAAAAAGCCAAAATTCTATTTTCAATTTCTTTCTTAGAGCTGTTAATCTTAAGGANTATTTTTATCTAGGTGTCAGCACATTATTTTTTGAGCTGATTTGGAATATATAAGGAATTTCTTTTTCATTTTTACTAACTGTAATTGTTTTATATGTGCTTTGGGGGCGGTGCATTTGATGTCTTCTAAGTGTTTAGTATTTTTGTTTCAGTAAACGTGATTATATTGCAAATTTATATGAATGTTGTTATGGTAAATATTTATTTAATGTGGTAATTATTATTATTTTTATGCTTGTATTTTCATTAGGGGCCTCGGGGCACTGTTAGTTTTGGCTCTGCCACTAACAACAGAAAGGCTCCTGTGTGTTTGCAGACAGTGTGTCCCCTGATGAAGTGCTGCTCTGTAAACACACAACTTTATTTAAATTTTATTTAAATTTTATTTATTTTATTTAACTATTTTTGAGTAATTTTTATTTAAATTATTTTTGAGTAAATTTATATTATTACTAGTTTATATGATTTGAATTTGGTTTTAGCTGCCTAGAGCGCTATTCCAATTTGAATTAATGTATTTAAGGTTGTTTTCATTTTTACCTTCTGTTTAATTAATTTCACTTAAGAATTTGAATTTACGTTTAGTTACCGATGAATATTCACTCTAATCATTAAATGTGATAATTGTAGTAAATCATCGAATATATTTCAAATTCACTGATTAGTTTATAAAATACCTTACACGTAATGGTAAATATGTAATAAATCCAGATAATTTTATTGAATAACTATTTTTATGCCAAAAAATGAATATTTCATAATGATGTTTGCAATAAATATTATAAAACAGTACCATTTCTTGATAAGATCTTCAATGCCAACATTCCTATCTATTTAACCTTAGAATAATAGAAAATTAGAATAATAGAATTAATTAGATAGAAAATTTTTGATAGAAAATGGCCATGGGTTTTGCACTCAGGCAAAAAAAAAGGTCAAAGTTACTAGAAAAAGGTAAGACTGACTATGATTTTTGGCTTGTGGTTGCACCAAAAAACGTGGTAATTTTTACCGAAATGATGATTTTGGTAAAATTAACAACAAAATATATATATCTGACAATATATCAACAATACAAACATATATATAACAAAATATATCTGATAAAATTTAGTAAATTTGGTAATTTTATCGTGATATCTTAGAGCATGGCATAGAAACCATCTATTTGGTAAAATTTATTTTTCAGCAATGCATATTTTAATAAATGTGTAGTAATAAGAACAATAATTTTGAAAACCAGAATTTCCGGTAAACCATTACCATTTGAAATGAAAAATTCTCAAATAAATGGTAAAAAGATCTTGCATTTTAGCTTTATTTACCAGAATTGTGCTGTTGTTTTGTTTTACTTTAAATGTCATTAGCGTACTGTAACGAAATTTTACCAGAATTTTTTTTCTCCTTGAACTTAATATAGATAACGAAAAATATTAGGGGAGTGGAGAAAGCCGAATGCGACCGGGTAGAGGGGTGAAATCGGGTATCCCAATTTTTTGCAAAATTAGTTTACTTTATAGCGCAAATGCTCTGAATTTCATTCTACTATTAAAAAAGAAGAATAAACCATCATGTTGGAATTTTGTTGTTCTGGTGCAGGTAAAATTTCGTTCTAAATTATCTGTTCTCCTATTTTTGGCCATTATAATTATAATTTTTTTTAATCCAGCTAATTGTAGATTTAATAAGGATTCATAACCTAAGAAATTATAAGTATTTTGTCCAATGATAGCATGGTTTTGTTTCGGTTCGATAGCTTCTGCGAATTTTTAGGTACACATAACATAATTTTATAGGTTTGAATGTTTAAGTAAAAATAAACGATAAGTGTTTAGATGTTGAATGTGTCTTTAGACTATGTATATTAAATGTTTTTCCGTTATATTACTTTCATTGGCCTTAAAAGCTTGACAATTGTTTTGTTGCGTGCTATAAATTATAAGTTTTTTATGCTTAAAAAATTATAACTCTTATAACGAAGAAAAAACTATAAAACTAAATTGAAATTGTTAAGAAATAGTACCAAATATCACGTCAAGCAGACAAATTATGTAAAGTATAAAAAGAAACCTATAAAAAGCGAGAAAAGAGATTCCTTTTACTTTTCAAAGTGCTAAAACATTTTTAGCCTAAAATATAAAATTTGCTTGCATGTAATGCATAAAAGTGTTAGGCGAAACACACGAAACAAAATTTAATTTAAATTAATTGCAACTAGTTGATTTTTAGCATCTAATATGTTAGAACTTACCAAAGAAAGACAAATTGACAATCGGAAAAATATGGAAAGAATAATTGTCAGGTAGCATGTCGTAAAGGTTAGGTTATTTGAAAGTTTCAAAAAGCTTTAATGTTCCACAGAGTACATTTGAGTATATTTTATTTCATATTTTATAACCGTCATTGAACTGCCGATTCGATTTTGGATTTATGACTACTAATGTTCAATTCCATAGCCTTGTGACTTTAAACCAAATATAGAAGACAAGAGATGTCCTGGATCAAGTATTGGGAAATATTTACTTTTCGGGCGAATTTTTGATGGAACTATCCCACATTTACGTTACACTTACAAGAAAATTACGAAAACCTCCTAAAGTTAGCCAGATGGCTAGGAGACCTCTAACTCATGATTCATCTACCACTGAGGATATTTTTACATCAGTACTGATATCTGTGCGATCTATGACTACTAATTTGACTACTAATGTTCAATTCCATAGCCTTGTGGATTTATGACTACTAATGTTCAACTCCATAGCCTTGTGACTTTAAACCAAATCTAGAAGACAAGAGATGTCCTGGATCAAGTATTGGGGAATATTTACTTTTCGGACGAATTTTTGATGGAACTATCCCACATTTACGTTACACTTACAAGAAAATTACGAAAACCTCCTAAAGTTAGCCAGATGGCTAGGAGACCTCTAACTCATGATTCATCTACCACTGAGGATATTTTTACATCAGTACTGATATCTGCGCGATCCTGGTGCGAAATGCCTATTGACCAGCCATTGCTAGGTTTCGAACCCGGTTTCTCTCATTGGAAGGTGAGCACCCTATGCCCTGAGCCACCATGGAAGAAAGGAATAGGCTCGAGAAAATCAACTAACTTCCAAGGAAGCTTCTATAAAAGGAGGATTGCAACGACTCACCTTTATATTATTTTCTGAACAAAATGAAAAAGAATCGTAGACCTTTTGGTATAATTTTACACATGACAGTCGCATTTTTGATTTCTTGGTGGACGGAGGTGTCTTACAAGATTTAACCCTACAGTCACACTATCCGGATCATTTTTCAAGTTTTATAATTTGATACTGATTATATTAAAAAGTGAGATTAATCTTTACTTTGAGCCCCACATAAATTTCATAAATAAAACATTTTTATTTATGATTTGATTCTTAACTAAGCAATTTATGATTTTTTCTACATAATTGCTAGCCTACATCACACTGAAATAATATATGGACTATTAGTAATACACCAACATAGAATCTCTTCTACAAATATAAATCTTCTCATCTTCTCTTAGTAATAGTCTTTTCTTCTACAACATCATCTGCACCCGGATAACAATATTAAGAGTCATGGATTTCAATAAACAAGCAAATGAACTGTTGAGAGTTTTTGATTTGTTCACGGGTCTGTATGAAAATTTCAAATTTTCTCTTTGCGATTATGTAGGGGAGAGTTGGACAAAACGGAATACCATTATTGTTTTTATTTACTACGGTAAATCTGTTAAAGAGAACCACGCATTATTTTTTTTACAGCTACATCACTTATTGAAGCACAGAAAAAACTTATTTTAAACTAATTTTAGTGACTGTGAAATAGAAAAAAAAATTATTTTCTTCCAAACTCTTACATATCTCATTTTAACAAACCTGGGTTGGACAAAACGGGACTGAGTTCAGAATGTTTAATTTTCTGTGTAAAGCTAACTGAAAAAACATAATTAACTGACAGAAAACTGTAAAGCAAAATTTCTAAAAATTGTATTTATGGGATTTTATTGCTTCTAACATTTTTATATAGACTGTTGTTTTATAATTAAATACGCAAAAATTGTGATGCTATATGCTTTTAAAGATTTTATGAGTTTTCAAACATGACCGCTTATTCTGTAATTTTCACTGTCGAGATGTGTCTGGTGCCCTTAAGAGGGATATCTTAGCAGTACTTTCTTCAATTTTCTTGGTTCTTTCTTGTAGTTTAATCAACCTTTCTTTTTCTTCCATTTATAATTCACTTTTATATGGAGATGATGTTGTTACAACAGTTTTCTTCTTTCTCTTATCAGCCATTTTTTCCTGAGAGAGGTCCTTTTACTTGAGGTACAGGTAAAGATGGAAACTTTGGAGAGATGGAAAAGGGTATAGGCATACCCACCTACAGTAGGTTATGGTATAGGTCGATAACAAGAGAGTTTTAATCCTTTCCCCCCTGAGGATGTTGCAGATTGGTCTACTCCCACGATGTCCCTCGAAGAAGTTGAAGGTTGCTCTTGGTCTTTGCTCGCATCAGTCTGGTGTCCAACGCCTGGAGGTTCTTGCTGCACGTTGGGTGATCAGTGGTGACAGAGGGTGCAAACAAGTGACCTGGGAAGATGTCAGGATTGAAAGGACTTATGCCAGTTTTGCTAAACCCTTTAACGATAGTTTCTGAAACAGCTGCTCTTGAGTAGGCTGCGTTGAACAGTTTTACAACCTCGTAAATTGTAACGCACTTACCTGGATGGTTGAACAGCCACTTTCGAATTTCTTGTTCATAATACGTGTTCAGTGGAGCCATGAAATGACATCCAGGTGCTGAAGGCGATGAGTTGTATGTGGGGAGAAGGTTAGGATAATTACATTATTTTCTCTTGCCAAATTTACAAGTTCCAAACTTTTGGTGTGACTATTGTGTCCATCAAGCAGCAACAGCACTGTCTTCTTATGCCTAGGGTTGGAAATTCTACGAACCTTTAAAAGCAAACAATGAAGGTCTCCTTAGTGATTCAGCCAGTCATGTGATACACTGAAAACGATCCTGGGAAGGCATCACCCATGAGTCTTGGGTTTTCCTTCACTCGAAGAAATACAAACATTGGAGGGACGAATACCCCAGCTGCACTGATGCATGTTTCAACAGAAACCAAAACTCCTCGTTCGACTGAAGAAAAGCTACCTACTTGCTTTTTGAATCGTAAACACAGCACTTTTGAAAGCTTCTTTGGCATTGTTAGAATTCCTGTTTCATCAACATTATAAATATCATTCGGAGTAATTCCATGTTTACTTAAAAGAGAATTCAAAAATTCAAAAAACTGCTTAACTGCAGTGCGATTAAAACCTTTTTCTCGGGCGATACTCGTTGGTTCTGGATTTCGGAGGCTAAGTTTTTTATGCCTGCCATGAAATGAATACAATTAACACTTTCCAGCCATTTTTTTCTTGTACTATAATTATGTTTAATATTGTGTCTCTCAGCTAACTCAAATGTTATCATTCGTATGTCCGTTAGAGTTACACCAAATAATCTCTCTTCTAGAGCCAATACATGTTCATGCGCTTTTTCTTGTTCAGAATTGAATACTGTCTCATGTCTGTTCAACTTCTTCACTGCTGCCAATTCAGGGGTCAATGTATTTGTGAGTCTTTTTTACCTTTCTTTCAATATAGTAATAATAATATAATCGAAGTAACAATTATAATAAAATAGTAACTATAATTTCAATATAGTAGAAGTAATAGGCCAACAAACAAATGGGTGGAAAAAACGGGACATAAAAAACTTTATCCCGTTTTATACAACTGATAAGTGTCCCGTTTTGTCAAACTCCGACACTTTTCAAAACAGACGTGGCTGCTGCCTAAACGTCAAAGGAAAATTAGATAGACTACACCCGAGAATAATAAATACACGTTAATAAATGCTTCATCAAATGTAATACTCCCCGGAATTGTAATCCCATATATGTAGGCAGTACAAGGTTAAAAACAACTCACGTAAATGTAGAAAATGGTGGCAAAGAAAACAGAGTAAAAAAGTTCTGACACCTACAACTTTTTATCAACTAGTGATCTCTAGGCGGGACACACGGAGAATAATATAATCACGGTCGAAAAACAAGTTTCTGTCGTCCTCCGCTAGATAGCTGCAATAGTCTGGTCCCTAGGTAACGTATCCCATTTTGTCCGACTCTTCCCTATATATAATATAATTCTGTGATGAGTGGTGGTTATTTGCTACCAACACTTAAAAACAAAACTTTGATCTTACAGATCGTGGAGATCTTATGTCTCTTTCATGGTATCGCTTTCTGCTCTTGACGTTATCAATATCATAATTGACGAAGCAATAAAAATCACTGATCAGTCCTTCTACAATAATTAAATTTTTTTTATTCAAAAACAAATCTTCATCACAATGCGAATTACATACGATATTTCACTTACTAGCTTTAACGTTCAATAGGTTATTTCATTGTATCCAATTAACTATTTCTCTCGTCGAGCATCTGGAGCTGATGGAATGAAAAGGTATCGGTATTTTCTGCTTATGGCATTCAACGTAATGGCCAAAGTAATAATATTTTCTTGGTTACAGATTGTATACATTTTTTTCTATTTTATTGGACAAGCAGGAAATATTAAATCTAGCTAAGACAAGCGGGAATTAAAAATAAAACATATGACGAGATTAGGAAAAGATAAAACGAAAAAACAAACAAACAATTGTTTGGAACGTCGTAGAATGAATTGGGTTTTGTTGAGAATAGTTTTTGCTAGTATTCAAGGTTTTTACTTACCCGTTACTGGTATTTAAATTTATTTTTGTTTTGTGGGTGTTGTGTAAAATAAATGCGCATTCTATTTTAAAATTTACAAAAAAAGAACCGTTGGTTTGAGTATCTATTTTTGCTCCTTAATCTGCAAACAATTTCCCGTAAAACAATTATTGCATTTTTTGCATTTAATTATGTTAAAGATAAACTTCAATTGAGAATTTTTGAGAATTGACCTTTAAAAAACATCACTGTAGGGTATACCGGGCAATGACACTTGACCTTAAAAATCATAAGTGTAGGGTATACCGGGCAAATGTATACCGGGTAATGGAACTTAACTAGACCTAGTATGACTAGATGTTTGGTAAATGTCCGAAATATATACTAGGTCTAGTTAAGTGCCACTGCCCGGTATACAGGTACATTTGCCTTGTATATCCTACGCTGATGTTTTTTAAGGTTCAGTGCCACTGCCCGGTATACATTTGCCCGGTATACCCTACACTGATACGTTTTTAAGGTCAAATGCCATTGCCCGGTATATATTTGCCCGATACTCCAAACTCTGGTGTTTCTTCTGATCTATCATCAGTAAGTATTACAATATCGAATAAATGTAATTATCTCCACAAATTAATTCATATCAAATCGAACGAAATAAATATTTCGGACATTCACCAAAGTGACTATGCGATTGGCAACATTTACCGGTGAAAGTCAACAAACACCGATTTCGGTCATTCACAGTAACATGCACATCATTTACATAATAACCTCATCAGGACGCTTATTTCATACTTTGCTTAAATAGCATTTGGCATTCTATACAATGCCTAGGCATTCTATACAATGCTGGCGTTTCATACTTTGCAGGTAACATATGCATTGTTACTATCTTTAATCCATAAATTAAATGTACTTGCGACTTCAGGGCATTATTTAGGTCGTATAGTCAGCCTTAAAATTTTAAAAGATATTAATCTTTAATATTAGATATATTTTATATAAACTAAAAATTACAAGAAAATTACGAAAGTTGGAAACTGAAGAGTTTTTAATTATATATGAAGAATATAAATTTAAAATCTACCGATTAACAGATTGATTTAGGAACTAAATTGGTTCAAAAGGAAAATCTTTATTCATAGGACACAAAATACAGTAAATACTGGGCGAATCTACCACTGAACTCTAGAGACATCTTGTAAAACCGTATGTATATTCACTGCTTAACAATTGCAAAGGAACAGTTACATTTTTCAGAATAAGTAATTATAGACATTATTTGAAGAATTAAAACTAAGTTCATATTCAGTTGAGGCAATGTGCATTTGTTATAATGTAAAATGGTTCAAATATTGTCACATCGAAAAATAATAAAATTAAATATAAAAAATACGCTCTTTAGACGATTTCCAAACAGTAAAAAATGGGTCTTCATAGCAGAATGAAACATGTATGAATATCTCAGTAAGATGCATGAATACTTCGAAAACTAATGCATGTTTCGCATCTGTTATTTATGCTGTTCATTAAAGTATCGGGATGTCATTGATGGGGAATATAGTTCCATAACAGGTTTTCGACTCTAATACAGTTCTGGACGGGCGTGCACCTTGTAAAATACGCGGGCCAATGGTATCCCAGGCGGGCTCAATCTGATTGAGATCTGGGAAGTACTCAGGTCATTGCACACGGACAATATCTTAACTCTATATAACTCTATATATCTTAACTCTATATTAACTCTATATGTGTCCTTAAGCTCAGCTCTTTTGTGGGACCTCGAAATGTCGTTCGTAAGCAGAAATTCTGTACCTATCTGTAGTACCGCTGGAATGTAGTGCTACCTCATTAAAAATATTAAGCGGTGTTCTGCCATAGTGCATTATGCTTATCCACAGCATCACGCCTTGGCCGATAAAGTTTATGAACATACTATTGTGCATAACGTGTTTCTCTCTCTCATAACCCTGTCTCAAACCACTGTAAATAACATTATTAAGTTTAAAAACAGTTAACTACTTTAATCATTTAGAACTCTATGTTACTGATAAATATTGGAGCAAGCATTGCATTTTCTTGTCATTATACTTTTTATAACGAAGCCAAAAGTCTGGTTTTGAATGAAATTCAAAATTCGTTATATTAAAATTATTCAATTTAGTATTAAATTAAATAAATGAATGTATATATATCGTGGGTTCGAACCCCGCCGGCCCAAGACTCCCCGTGTAGTAAAGTGACTGATGCACGTTAAATCTGTCGAGTCGCAAAAGTCCTCCTCATTGAATTTTTAGG